TTGCCGAGTTGAAAGTGGGTGACAAAATGCACTCGCTTTGCGCGCACACACACACATACACACACAGACAGCCTCTCGACAATACGCGTTTTTACTGGCTGTAGCAGCACTATAGCGCTAGCGCTGCTATAGCGCTGCACAGCAAAAACGCATAAAAAAGTTGTATATAGCTTCGGAAGGAAAATAAACAGTTATGCTGCCAGGCTGATCTTGAAGCAGAATGGCCAGTGGTATAGGGGGTAGCATGTCTTTCTTGATGTGAAGAGGAATGGTTCGATTCCCTACAGGTCCACAACCTTAATTCATGCGTGGGCATGCTAGCAACATCATTAAAGTGGGATTAACAGAACGGCGCAGATGATCATGGTATTTACAGGACAAGATATCACGAGATTTTTGCAGGATACGCAAATGCTTGTTTACTGGTTTTTCAGTTTTCTTCTTGATTCTGACGGCGACAAGTAGTGCTTTACGAAATAGTGCACGAACAGTATCGCAAATGTGACATACAGCACAACGCCAAGCATTAAATTCTTCATCGACTGCTGACAACTGCAAAAAGCTCCGCATCATTTTGCTGGGTTCGTTACTAGGGGTTCGGAATTTTATTTAAGTTTATTTATTCCTGCAAATTATTTATTTTTGCAAAGGAAAATTTGGAATTACTTCTTATAATGCTGGAAGTTAGGTCGGATAAGGTAAATTGCTAGCTTGGACCAGAACTTGTGGATTTATGACATTTTCAACGAATCTTTTACTAGACTTTGCTTGAGCCCTTAAATAGAAATTTGTTTGCGAACAGATTTGAATAGTACTTCTTGAGCGAGCAAGGGCGAAGAAAAGTTAGTAGTCTTCATACAACTAATTTTAACATGATTTAATACAACTAATTAAAACTAAACTTACACAACTACCACAATCGTTGTACTGACGAGGTCCAATTGTGGTAATGGTAAGAAATGTATACGGTTTATTGGACCGAAACATTTCTTAGTATTATAATAATTTTAATGAGATATTTTATTAGTTATTTCCTAATACTAATATTATTTTCTTTTGTCTTTTTCCAACTTTAAAATATTTTCCTATTAATGAACATAAATACATAAATTTGACTCATCTGATACAAATTAGGATGATTTTAGTCAAAAACCTTGCATAAAAATTCATTTTGTATTATGACATTAATAGCATTTTTTTTACCGGGAGAGGTCCAGTGGTCCTTTCGAAAATTGTAAAGACGGTCAATCGTGAACAGATCCCTCCGTTCTGGAGTAACACCCATCGCTAAATCGATGTGAAATGTAAAAAACTAACGGTAAAATGTTATCGGTTTTGATTTTCAAAACGTATACGGAAATAGCAACTCCAGCGAACATTTGTGCTGTCTGGATTGTTGTTAGTGTCATCGATACTGCTCTGAAACTACGCATGCCAGCGAACTAGCGATAAAATCGAGGTAAGAAATGGTGCACAATTTCAACTATTCGATGAAAATTCTTTAATAAAATTCTATATTCACTGATACACAAAATAATTATTTGAGAATATACTACTGATTTTTCGGGAAAACTTAAGTTTTCTCGATTTAACGTTGCCGCAGCTTTAACCATCGCTTTTTGCGCAAATTATCGATAGTTGTAATTTTAAATGTTGGACTGCATAATTTAGCGATCATGATCGATCGAATGTCTATTACGTTTAATTACGAAGGTCACCAAGATTGGAGGACCGATGCAATAAAGAAAGAAATAAAAATAGAATAGTAACAATAATGGTAAACAATAAACGAAATCACAAAACTGATAATATTTATATAAGATATTAAAATAGTAGCATTGGCAATGAGGCACAGTACTCAGAATAATAATCATCATAGCAACAATAGTGATGACAGTGGTAATAATAATAGTAATAATAATAGTAATAATAATAGTAATAATAGTAATAATAATAATAATAATAGTAATAATAGTAATAATAATAGTAACGATAATAATAATAATAATAATAATAATAATAATAATAATAATAATA